TAGGAGATGTTGACATCCTGATAGTTTAGTTTAAAATAAAAAGGTGAGGTCATTACTGAATTGCAAATCACTGTCTGGTATTTCAGAACATTTTAAGACCACTACAGGATTGTTAAAACATTTTTTGTATTTACGCTTTTAGAATACATAAATATATTCTTTTTGCAAAAATAAATTCTACTACGACCAATTTGACCAAACAACGCATTTAGCAGAGAAGCTTTTTTATATATTTCATTGGATTCAATACACCACATGAACTTACTTTATCTTGGTAACACTTTGCAATAATCAGTCACAAACCCTGGCTGTCTTTTGGTGTTGAGGATATGAATATTCTCTAAGGTTAATAATAACATCCGAGTCCGAAAGTGGGCCATTTCTTCACTTATCTTAATTATGTCAAACCCACATTTAAAATGCTTTATCTAGGAATGTTTTTGGCCTTGATCTGACTATTTTAAGCTGCCTTCAAATGATAAGAAATGTTTACCCTCCACACTTGCCAGTGACTCTTCTGGCTACATGTCATGTTTTCCAATTTGTACTTCTTGACTTTGAATCAGGGGGTCACAGGTTCAAACCCCACTGCAGTCAGCATGTCGTTGTGTCCCTGAGACCCTTCGCCCCAAAGTGCTCCTGTGGGGATCGCCCACAGTATTGAGTATGTAAGTCGCTTTGGATAAAAGCGTCTAACAAGTGAAATGTAATGTAATATATCAAATCAATAATAAAACTGCTCAGCACTACTCGGCTCCATCAATCGCAGCAAAGTGGATTGCAAAATGTGTCTCTCACCAACAAAACACTTATTTTACACAGCTGACCAAATGTGCTTACAATCAACAGACACCTGGTCCACCTGCGTGTTTGCTCAGCAGGTCATTATCGGTCAGAGGTCAACCACACTCATATACAGTTACAAACATCTTAAACAATGGTAAAGCAACAAATTAGCCTAAATCATATATATCAACACAGCTGGAAAATAATTGTCCTAATACTGGGAATATTTAATAAGAGATTAAGTTAGGAGGCAAAGTGAATATATTATACGTACAGCGGTTACCTTATTGTGAAATGAGAACAGCCACAGACCTGGTGACAAGTTGTTATAATGGACGTAGCTGTAAAGGTTGTTGTTAAATCAATTAACAGTTATGACAACTCTTGAATCAACATGTTTCTATTATCCTTAACTGCTCTTAGCAAAGAAAAGGAACAAATAAACACTATTTCAGACTGAATAATGAGGTAAAAACTATTATTTTTGAAAGCAGAACAGACCAAAATGTTATTGTTTTAACTTCTTAAAGCAAAGGTTTTAGTAAAGTAATACATTAATAGAACAAATATAATATAACCCTTGATTGCAGCCCTACGTAAATCATACACCTACTGCAAGAAATGACTGTCAACCCAGCTATGCATTTCAACAGATAATACATATAATAATGCAACTGAAAAACTGTCTGGTCTGCAATGTAAAATCAAAGCATTGCAATGTCCCAATTTGACCAATTCAATGTTCCAGATATATCGCAGAATGATTTGAAGGTCAGGTGCAAGAGCCAAGAGATCATCATCGTTCCCATCATAATGTCTTAACTCAGCATCTTTGAGCATGTGTTATTGCTGAGTGGATGCATTAGTGAAGCGTAGCATAACCAGTAAATGATGCTAAATATGGGATGGAGGTAGGTACGGCTGACACACACTCACAAACACACACTATGATGGAAACTCACAAACCCAAAGAAAAGAGGAAGGGAAGAAATAGAGATGTTGGTTTAAGTGTGATGGATGATAAATTAGGTGGTGGAGAAATAGGAAAAAAGGAATGTATGAAGGACAGTCAGGAAGTCGTAAAAGGAAAGTAGGAAGCTGTGAAGGAAGGAAAGACGTGAGGAAGCAAATAAGAGGAACATTAAAGAACAGGGATGCTCCAAAACCAGGCTGTGATAGAAAGGTTATTTTCATTATGGACTATTTTGCGATAGAAATGTTTGGTCTAAAAATGTAAGAAAATAGTGTTCATGTATTGTATTCTTCTGTTTACAGCATAACAAAGCAAGACATCTCAACATTTGAGAGGCAGCATGTTCTGCCATCTTTGCAGGAAAAACTTCTTAAACAATAAATCGATCATCAAAATAGTTGGCATTTTTTTTGTAGAGCGACTAATCGTGGCGAGATGAAAGGAAGTGAATGAATGGAAATCATGATGATGGAGGATGTGCTGCAGGGAGTACAAGTGAGAAAGGAGTTATGAAGGAAATGAGGACCAATGAAGTACAGAGGAAGCAATTAAACAAAGTATGAGATACTGATCAACACAAGGAGGCAGGGAAGGAGCGGAGAAAGTAGTGCAGGGAAAGGGATCCGGCTCATTTTCCGTATCATGCAGCGCTGTGGGAGAGACACCCCAAACACATCTGTCTTTCTACAGAAATCACAAACTACAACTGGGAAAAACACAAAAACGCACACGCACAGCTGCGGCTTATGTCCCCTGACACAAATCAACAGCTGCTGAGTTACACACAGATACACATGCACACACACACCGTTCTAGAAGAACAAACTGTCCTATCAACAATCGTCTGAGAGAGACAACGTGAACATCAGTCAGAACAACGACTAAGACCACACCGCTAACCACCGACTGCGGCGTTACCGCAACAACTAAGACTTTCATGTCAGCAACACACACTCAAGTTAAGTTTTGTGTTTCGTGGACAAACTGTGGTATTGGTATGTGATTACAACTCATTTTGTAATTTGCAAAAAAATGTAAATAACGGAACATCTCCATAAAATGCAGTCCAGCGTAACATACCTGAATAATAAACGTGTAGTTACATTAAACGAACACAAGTCCATTCAGATACATTTCCCGTGCAAACTGCTATTTGCCTGCCGTGCTCAGATTATGAACTAATTATGAATATCTCTAAATAAACACAAAATAAATAAAATAGACTAAACAGTGGTATGACATATCAAGAGTTACACCACAATCACTTCTGTAATCTGTAAGGCCAAGTGTAACCTTAAGGCAGGACCATTTTGCAGAATTTCTCCTGATGATGTAAAGAAAGGTCTGTGTGTCTGATGTGTGAATTCATTGGTAATTGTTGATCATTCACACAGTCTTCTTTTAAACAATTTAAAAACTCACTGCAGTCGTTACTTCAATTGGAAAATATTTGCCCTTTAAGTAATTCACTCATCTGAAATTACATACGTGTGTTTTTTATAAACATCATTTGCTCAAATACCATTTATCACATCTTTGGGACCAAAAAGGCAGGCTGAAGCCCAAAGTCTGCACGCTCCTGTATCTGTCTTTCTCCATTAGAAACAAAAGGCAAAGAAAAGATTAGACTAAATGGAGCACTCAAGGTCTTGGGTAGAAGTACGCCAGAGTTTGGTTGATTGCCTAAATATGGCTAAATGATCAGATTATAATCTCAAATCTAAATTATACTTCATCAAACTGACAGCACAGTACACACATATCTTTCAGGTACAGTACAGGTACTCCATTTAGACATTTAATAAACATTCCTCCAAATTGATATAATTGGTTTGAATATATATAAAAAAAGAGAATAAGCACAAAATGGGGCTTATGTTTTTCATGTAATAAATCTGTAGCAACCAAATAGATTTGGGGGGAAAACATATTGTGCCACATAGACAATCTTTTCAAATGTTTTACATTCAAATACATTTTGTGTATGACTTTCTTACATTAGCCCATCCCCAACTCAATAAAAAAACATGTATACACTACAGGGAGCTTAGATGTTCAACTATTCATTTTAAGAAGAGGAAAGGAAGACGATACGTTAGTCAGGTCTTTAATATAGTTTTTCCTTTTGGATCTTCAAAGAATAACTCAATTTAAGCATTATAAATATCTAAAGAAATATTCCATACTATTTGTAACTAAGAAAACTATATTTTATAGACATTTCCCTTTATTAAAATTCCAAACTTTTAGGTATGGAGATCTGGACACATGCCCTTGAAATCCACTTAGTTGACAATAACCAGGCAAGGAAGTGTCCCCTCAAATGTTGACATTAATACATTGAAACAGTCTTCATCAATCACATGTGAAGCCAGTATTACATAGAAAAGACTGGTTGTTTTTTTCAGCATGATATTCAGCATTAGACATAGGTAAAAAAGCATCACATCCTCGAGTCACTATGGTTGATATGACAGGAGGTACCTAAATGGTGGATGTCGGTCTATTTATTTACTAACACTATGGTCGTTTGTAGAGCAGAATGATAAAACAGTTCTGTATCAGTTGTATGATAACATATAGCAGCGTGTGCATCATCGCAACACAGTGCAACAGAAACAAATAAACCTAGTACAAATGAAACCTTCACTACACCACGACATACAGTAACAACAACCTAGTTACTACTGCAAATATGTTTGTCACAATACATTACAGCAGACAGTCCATCTAGAAACCTCCTCCATTAATTATATTTCCACCAAGCTAGCTTTAAGCTAATTAAACTTTTAGATACCTACCTTTTCTTCTTGAATACAACACCAGCCCAGCTCCCAGTTTAAACCTGATAATAGCCAGCGTTAACTATTAGCAGCGTGGCTATCTGCCACATATTACACGTTTATAGACCCCTGGGTACCATATTAGTTAGCGTTAGCTGTCAGACTGGCCAGCAGCTTCTTGACCTTAGCCTGACAACACGCTAGCTAGGCTAAGTCAGCAAAAATAGCTTTAAACAGTTTACATTGCGAATAAAACTTAACACCGCTTCGTGACATCTCGATCTAAAATTCTCCTTCAACCGCCGCTCGGTGTCCCGGTCACTGATGGAAAACACTGACGTTAGTTTTGCCGTTTAAGTATCCTTGCATGCTAACGCTAGCTAAAGAGTTAGCATAACGGTTTGACGTTACGCAGTGTCTCCGGATAGAGGCAGCGAGCTGTCACAATAACAACATACCTTCAGGGTTGCCCGGTACTGGGGCTGAATTCAAGGAGGTCACGGTGGCTGTGCTTCAAAAGACCGGAGAGGCTCACGGATGTCGGTCCCCAGTATCCTAAATCATTAACGGCAGAAAAAACCATCCAGCAGGCTAACGTCATTACAGTGAAGCTAACGCAGCCTGTTTGGCTTTTACAGTTCATTTCCACGACTGCGACGGGTTGGCGCCCCCTACCGCCTGTCACTGGAACTGCCTCCTCCTCTTCTACTTGTTTGATTGGATTTATTGATGTGGCGGACTCTTTTACTTAAGTATTGTCCACCACTGGAAATATTGTCTTGTAGATTAGGGCAGTGGTTCCCAAACTTTTGAGGAACCCCTTTTCTAACCTAAGTTAAACTGACGACCTCTGACTCCTGTAAGTGGCATATTGTATGCATAATTCATACTATATTCAATGCTTAACTATAATCAATTGACATAAACACATAGATCATCATTATTTTTGTATCATTATTCAAATTAGTATTATAAGCACTATTGCTTCTGGCTGATGGATCATACTTAATTCTTACTGCAACACTACTGTATTATACCTCTTCTATATATGCACTCACATTGATTGGTGTTTTTAATGTAAAAAAAAGGGGGAGGAATATCATATGGGTAAAAACATTTCATATTATGTTTTCCCTCATTGATAAACGTGTGTATCTGATAAAGTGGCCTCTGAATGCAAGTAAAGGTTGCCTTCACTGGCCTTTTTGAAAAGGCACATACAGTGCAGTGGGATACTGTGTGTAATGTCAATTCATAGTCCCTATTATGTCAGACAGAATTATTTAGGTATATTAACTGCCGTGTCATAAACATAGTAATTGTAAGCCTTAGTAAACGTTAGTAATCGCTTTATTTTCGTTCTTGATTATATCGTTTCAAAATAAATTCCCAGTCACACTAAACGCAACTACGTCCAACGTAAACATCCAAATGAGACGTTTGATTGGCCGTCAATTTTACAGTTAAATTGATTTAGCCAATCAGTGAAGCCGTTATTGGTCGTTGTCTGTAACCAACGTACACAATTTAACAACCTGGAACTGTGGTGTGACTGGACTGACAGGGTGGACAGTCCAGAGCTGGACATAAGCCCTATTATTACATTAATAATCAAATATGTGTTAACCGACTGTTCCTTATGTCATAACGGTTTCGGTAAAAACACATTTCTGCCGGCATGAATCTCGGGTGAGTACCCTTTCCTCACGTTAGTGGGAGCTACTAGCTAGCAATGCTAACACACTGGCCGTGTGTGTCGCAGTGAAATGCACTTGGATTATTTTATAGCTTGCGACCAAACTGTGAAGAAAGAAAGCTCTTGTAGTAACACACGCAATATTAGTTCTACGTGCACATTGCAGATAATATAAAGGAGCTGTGGTTAAGACTTTAACCCACACAGCATTAGCTGTTTGATGTTATTAGTCAATAAAGGTGATGGCAATAATCTCTCAAACAATAATGTGCTTCTGTCCATGCAAAGAAGATAGAAAATGACAAGGCACACTTTTTAGCATTGCATTGACTCAGGGTAAAGGTTAAAGAAAAACAAGATAAATACAAACACATAATGCAGGCATAGGATATGTCATTAATGAGTAACAAGTGTGATTTGGAGTTCCTGTGTGAATAAAGCAGCATGTTTCCAAGCAAAGCAATGTACAGTTAGTGAATACCACGAAATGCAGTTTAGCATCTTGCCATCATTTAAATAGCAGAGCAGAGCAGAGTGATGTACACACTACACAGTATATGAAGACTAGAATGATAAATAAAATATTCAACATTATGATAAATGTGAGCCTGCTACGCATGTACATTATAAACAGTATTAAATGAATATGCTATGCTATGATATGATATACAGTATGGACATGTACAGAAGTTACGCTGGGCAGTGCAGGTGTAAATATAACATTAATCCAGGTGTTAATAATAAATACTCTTTGTAGGACTAAAAATACAAAAAAAACGGAATAGTTTATTGATTAATTAATACATTCATTAATAAAGGGGGAAGTCCAGTTATACACAATGTTTTGGTATATCTGATGTAGGTCATTTAGACGGAACAACTTAAATAAATAAAAGTATGTGACGATGTAGTTACTGCTGGGTTCAGCACTAACTCAGCACTCATTTACGGAGATGCCTGTTCAGTTTAGACATGAGTTTCCAAAAGAGGAAATGATGTTTGCAGTGAGAGAGCATTAAAACACAAGACCTTAACAACACTAGCCACTTGAAAACATGAGGACATATTATACTTATTTTCAGGTTCATATTTGTATGTAGTGTCTCTACTGTGACATGTCTCCATGCTTTAATGTTCAAAAAGCTCTTTATTCTTCTCATACTGCCTGTGCTGCAGCACCTCTTTTCACCCTCTGTCTGAAACCAGAGCCCAGTCTGCTCTGATTGGTTAGTTGGCTTGCTTTGTTGTGATTGGTCAAACACTTAGGGATGTTATCAGAAATGTCCATAGCATTTCACGTACAATGTTGGGAGCGTTAGCCAATGTTACATAGTGATGTCATCATGTTACAGAATGAAACAGAGTTAATTTAATTGGGCCTTCACATATTGTCAAATTCTTTGTGTGCTAAATAATTCTATGTAATAGTATTTCTCTTTTTGTGTGAACAGAGACGGCCTGCTGTTTGAACTTGAAAATGGAAAACCCAAGTTGATTTTACTCAGTCATGGTGAGAGCTTGCTTTCTTTCTTCTCTTTCTTTTAGTGCAATTTTGCAGAAATGTAATACATGTAACAAAAGGCATTAATTTGTGAAATTGTCCTTTGATAGGATTAGCACGTTTGCACATGTGTACAGTATGTTGTGTAATATCCACAGCTGCTCACTGTCACGTCTTTCTTCCGTTGCAGGCGCTGAGAAGAATCCAGCAAAGGTAGTGAATCCTCCTTTACCAATGTGCACCTTGAGTCTGCTCTGAGTGGTTAGCTGGCCGCCCCTCGGCAACTCACATACAATGTATTGGAGCGCTAGCCAATAGAAGCACGAGTGTTACAAAGTAATGTCACTATGTTACGGAAGTAAACACAGGATTCCAATCGAGGCGTTTCAGGCAGGAGAACTACAGGAAAGGGAAAACCCCAAAAAGCATAATACGGCCTCTTTAATATTTGACATGAAACATTAAATCGTCTTGTTTATTTGCCGTCTCCTGCCGCCTCACACCTGACAGGAGCAAACTAAGCATCAAATGATCAGGATCAAAACATAAAATCAAAGTTAATAGGAACAGCTGGTAGAATAAAATATGTAACAATTGATATCTATTGGTATGCTTATAGGAAATGTAAACTTATCTTTTATAGTTTTGTCTAATATGATTTTATTTACCTGTATTCCAGCAGCTGTCTTTCAAACCCAGAGCGGCTAACATCCTGAACTCCAGGCAGCCGTCCTGTGTTGAGGAGGCGCAGGGGGGGGAGCGTCCAGCCCGGCAGCAGCTGGGGAGGCGTAGAGAAACCAAGAGCAAAGCAGGAGGAGCAGCCGCCTCCTTCACCTCCAACACCACCACCGGAGGGAGGAGCTCCACACTTTCCTCATCCAAGACACATGAATATCTCAAAGGGGGCAACGTCAAGGTTGTTGCCAAGGTAATAACAATAAAATAGTACTTATTTTATTTAAAGAGCACTTTTTCAAAATCCTTGCAACAAAGTGCTTCACAAAGACAGGAAAATAAGACAAACAAGTCTGAAATCATCAGGTTTGGAAGACAATAGATGAAAAACAATGTAGTGTTGAAAAAGGCAAGAATAGTAAAACAATTTATTTAAGAGATAAAGCGAATATTATATCAATATTGTGATGTGAGATTAGATATGGTCTTAGATTTTGAGTATCGTATGACATAATTATTTCCTGGCTTTATAGGCTGCATTACATTAAAGTGATGCCATTTTCCTACTTTTATTATTGAGACCCGAAGACTATATATCCACGTTTAAGATATTTATTTAGCAAAAACAAATCATATATCATGTGTAAAGATTTTATAATAAGCACCAATAGTCAACATTACAATATTGTTGGTATACCAATATTGAGGTATTTGGTCCAACATATTGGAAAACAAATTGATTCTCTCCATATCGCCCTTTCAGAGCCTTAGTCAAGTCAAAATCTATTCTATTGGGAGACAGTAAACCAAACGCTTATAAAAGAAGTGATATGATCACGTCCCTTGGGTCTGTTTTAGTTACATTTTAGTGTCTGTGTGTGTGTGTGTGTGTGTGTGTGTGTGTGGTGTGTGTGGTGTGTGTGTGTGTGTGTGTGTGTGTGTGTGTGTGTGTGTGTGTGTGTGTGTGTGTGTGTGTGTGTGTGTGTGTGTGTGTGTGTGTGTGTTGTGTGTGTGTGTGTGTGTGTGTGTGTGTGTGTGTGTGTGTGTGTGTGTGTGTGTGTGTGTGTGTGTGTGTGTGTGTGTGTGTGTGTGTGTGTGTGTGTGTGTGTGTGTGTGTGTGTGTGTGTGTGTGTGTGTGTGTGTGTGTGTGTGCGCATGTGTGTGTGTGTGTGCGCGCATGTGTGTGTGTATGAAGGTGAAGTCAGACAGACATAAGCACAGCACGACCGTTGGCTCCCTGAGAACCAATGGGAAAACAGCTCAGCCTCAGAGCAGTGGAACACAGGCCGGTGGGAAGGTAGGACTGAAGGACTCGCAGGCCGGTGGACACGCAGGACTGAAGGACAGTGTGGTGTGTCTGACCAGCGAGCAGCTACAGCACATCCTCCACAGCGTCCACACCTCCAACCAGAGCCAACACACACCAGAGGATCCCACGCGCCAGGGTAGGAGTAGTGATGCTAGAATTAAAGTGATAGCAGAGATTAGTAATGATAGTATCAAAGCAAAGTTTAACCCCAAAATCAGAATTAAAAGTGTTTTAATTAGGCCTCACCATTTCAACTCCATTCATGTATATTCATATGTATTATCCTGACAACCTCACCAGTTTTACAATGTTTTTAAGTCTCTTTTAAACTCTAGTTTGGTTTTACTGTTTGTTTCAGTCTCAGTGTTTCCAGCAGCACCAAAAAACAAACAGGCATGTTTTTGTAAAGAAAGCTAGTGGAGAAAGTAGAAAACCAATAGCTAGTTCTGGTTATACTGTTTGGAGTTGGTACAAATCTTGAACGTTTGGAAATTGCAAATTGTTTCAGTTTTCAATATAAGGAATATGCTTGAATTTCAAAAATACTACTGATAATATTCTTCTTATCTGTTGAGCTATTTATCAATCTAGATCAGTGCTTCTCAAAGTGTGGTCCGCGGACCACTGGTGGTCCGTGAGCGCCCCCTAGTGGTCCGTGAGTATATTGGTAAAATGTCACATTTTAAATAAATAAATACATTTCAGTTTTCCGCACTCTCGCGGGAATATCTTCGCAATGGAGCGAGCTTAAGTTTCACTTTCGATTGCATGATATAGCCCAGCGCAACACCTTCATCACACATGTTGGCACTTGTTTGTACCATTTTTAGGCGATTTATAATCTGTTCTAGAAAAACGATGTGTTTTTTGATATTTGTGGAGTTAGGTGGTCCGCGAGTGTTTTTTTATTGGTTAAGTGGTCCTTGGTATGAAAAAGTTTGAGAAACACTGATCTAGATGTCTTGCTGGGATTTGCAGACTGTTGGAAATAATGGAACTAGATGGCACTCAAGCTTATGGTGTCAAAGCACCAAAGAAACTCAACAGGAATCATGACCTGTTTACGAGTAGCCGTTTCAAGTAGGAACTACTTTCTTTCAACCAAACGACCACTTGTCCTTGAGTAAATGCAACATTTTGGATAAACCGGGTAATTATTTCTGGAAATCACATTGCTGTTCAGTGTTTCAAAAGTAGTGCTTGGTGTACCACAAGCCAAGTGCCACCTTTTCCATTTATTTATAAGAGAAAGCAGACATCTACACGATAGTTTTCCCTCCAAAACAATCTATGTATAGCACTTCAGTTGAGAGGTACACATATGTAACCTTACATTTTTTGGGGGGGAACTATCCCTTTAACAGACTCCAAAACTGGATCCTTAATAAATGGAGGACGGGGAAGTGGAGAGATGAAGGAGGAAGACAGAGGAGGAGGAACAGATAATACTGCAACATCTCAGGATAAAGACAACAGGTGAGCAGCCGACATCAACAAGATTTGACATGAAACGATTTTTGATTTCTCTTGAGCGTACAAACATTAAAAGGATTATTTAAAGATACATGCAGTTAAGACACTATTTTGTAAAAGAGATAAGGCTAAATGCAGATGAATCTTTAGATACTGTAACTGGGGTGATTGTGGATGCGTATCAGCAGAAGGGGTCTCGGATCATCTCTGCTTTCTACCAGGCTTTGGGGGGAAACAGGGGGGAATCGACTATCTACATAAAAGCAAAATGGGAAGCAGAGTTACAAATAAAAATTTCAGAGGAAGAATGGTTTCAAATGTTCGAGACGCAATTTACATCCACAAACTCATTAGTATGGAGGGAATTCTGCTGGAAGAACCTGACTCGCTTTTTCATAACACCCAAAATAAAGAGCAGGCAACTTGGTGTACAGCAACAGTGTTGGAGGTTGTGGGAACATGGAGGCTGGCTGACCACTCGCACATTTTCTGGAACTGTACAAAGATAAGGTCATATTGGGAGAAGGTTAATGCAGATGTCAAAATTATTTTGGGTTATGGAATCCTAAATACCTGCCCGGTGATGTATCTTGGGAACATTAAGGATGTTGTGATGGGAGGCGATCTATATTTGATTAAGGTTTTACTTGCAGCGAGTAAGAAAGCTATAACCAGAAATTGGCTAAATGTGAACGCTCCAACTCAGGAGCAGTGGCTGGAAATTGTTCAAGATATTTCTGTCATAGAAAAGTTGACATATGTTTTGAGAATCCAAGAGAATGCATTCAATAGGAAATGGGAAAAGTGGAATATTTACATGGTTGACACCAATGAGTAAGTGAATGACTAATTCAATCTTGTACGGTATGTGTGAATATTGAAGGTCTTCAGACAACTAGTATTTATTGTGCTTTATTTTACAACTGATTTGTGTGTATTATGTTTTGTTGTTCTGTTATTATTGTTGTGAAAACTCAATAAAAACATAAGTATAAAAAAAAAAAGGATTATTTGAATATATTTATAATTTAATAGTTTGCTATTTAGAAAATGTACAGTCATTTACATATTTGTAGGTGTAGATCCAAACTCTAGAAGTGCATGTCAGCCTCAGTATTCTCCAATGAATGTGTAGAAATCTGTGTTTGTAAAGTAGTGGTTATAAACAGAACTGCTGTTCAGGTTATCTGGATGTCCGTTCAGCTGGCTGGAAGAGCGACAGACCCTCAGCAGAGCAACCAACGACGCCAAGAAGGCTCAGTGGAGGAGAGAACTAGGTACACACACACACACACACACACACACACACACACACACACACACACACACACACACACACACACACACACACACACAAACACACACCGTGTAATGCATATATATGAATTATACTGTCAACCCTACAGAGAAGTATCACCAACTTTACCAATTGTTTAAGTTTTTTTGCATCCTAGTTTTGGTTTTATGAAACATTAGTTTTTCCAGTTGCTCCCAAAAACAGAAAGAGGTAGAGATTATCTGATGGAAGAATTTGAACACTTAGTAGCTAAAGTTACTTCTTTTTTTTCAAGTTAAACCGTTTTTGGCTTTTTGTGCAAAATCTAGCTACATTTGACAGTTTATTTAAAAGAGTGAATTTGAATATACTGAATTTGAAACTTGTTTGATTTTTTAACATATACTTGTGTGTCGTATTTGTGTATTAGATGAGCAAGTGGCTCTAAAGCAGCAGCAGAGTTCAGCTCCTGGCAGACTTCAGGTACGGCATGAAAATGTTTTTATCTTTTGAGTTAAACTTTATTGGTTATTTTTCGTTATTGTGGAAAAAGTGAATAAGCTAATACGTTTCGTCCATTTAATTATTCAGACAAAATGAAGTACAAAGTACAAGTTATTTTCATGGCCTGGCACTTGGCCATAACAAAGAACGTGGAAAGGACACAATATAAGGAAAGATATTTATTATAACAAACTCAACTTAACAAAAGAGCTACCACAATGGGAATTGTTAGTCAGTAAGATCAGTAGTGTAGGTGTGGGTGTGTGAACATGGTGTGGTGCAAGGTGTTGAATGCCAAACTAAGATGAAGGTAAACCAAAGCATAAATAAGGTAGCTGCTCTCCAAACAAATCCTCCAACAGAGAGAGCGGGCAAGACTCTGGCTCGGGCCTTTCACTCCTCAGCTACTGGCGGCCAGGTGCCCTCAATCAGTGCTGATAGGGACGAAGGGAGATCGTTAAAGGGCCACACACAACAGGGAAGAGTAAAGCCGGGGTTGTCACAGTAACATAAGTTGAACGCTAAAAAATATATATCTAAAAATGACCTTAAGAATAAAAAAGAATTGTGGACACTGTCCAGGACTGATATCCCCTATTAAATACCAAATGTCTTACTTAGAAAGACAAAAAAGAAAACAAAGCTAAGTTATTGAAGTTTTAAGACTTTAGTAATCTTTTTTTTTTTCCTATGAAACTTAATTTTGTGTGTGTTTCAGGCAGAGGACGACACAGAGAGTGTGTATTCAGTTCAGAGCTCCATCAGCCACAGAGATCAGCCTGCAGCCATCAGATCCAGCCTTAGGCTCGGGGTACAACTGCATATGCTTACGTATACAAATAATTTTACAATATATTGAGTATTAGTGTGTTTTTCATTAAACTTAAATAAAGTACAATTATCTTTTTTTCTCCTGACTTGTCTCTGTAGGAGGTCACCCCGATGGAGGAGGTGCTGTGTGTGGAGAGGAGGGAGGAGCAGAGGAGGCGCTGGTTGGAGGAGCTGGACCGACAGAGGGAGGAGACGAGTGAACGCAGGAGACGAGAGAAACTGCTGCAGAGCCAGGTACAGGAGAGACGGTAGAAACGCGGACAATGCATGTAATAAAATACTGCCTGTGTCTGCTCTGTGGTTCAAATCATCAACACACTTTTTTTGCGTTATTTCTTGGCCCATGCTACACCCCTCCACCAAGTTTCATGGAAATGAGCCAATATATTTCCATTATCCTGCAGAGAAAAAACCAAAACAAACCAAAAACATGTCCTCATCAGGTATAGAAGAGACACACTAGAAATCAGGTGCACCTGAATACAATATGATATTCTTAATCTCTTGATGAGAAAATTGGTTTTGGACTTTGTCCTGCAATTCAACAGAATATTAAATTAAATATAGTAAAAGAAAACATATTAACATGTGGCTTACAAGCAGTAGAGACACATTCAAAGCTAGAGTTGGATAAAGACACAGCAGACACCAGGCTTTCTACAGTAGAGTAAATGTTTCCCTTTGTTTCATGTTCCTTACTTTATTTGTGACTCTGCAGACGGAGGATCACGAGCTCTGGGCCGCACACTTTGACTCTCTGCAGAGACGGCCTCCTGTGCAGACGGCTGCTCCTTCAGCTCCACCTGCAACCCCGTCCCGTCTCTCTGAGCAGGGGGAGTGGGACCCCTCCTCTAGCCTGTCTCTGGTCTGGGAGGCTGCCAGCAGCTGTGGAGCGGAAAGTGTTGTAGGGGCCAGCATAGATACAACCAGCGGGTACCCGGGCAGAGCCAGGTAGGAGGGGGGGGACAGATGATATGGGCCGATTAGTGTAACAGCTATGGAAACATTTATATTTAAGGGTATATCTGATTTCTGATTTTCTGAATGATGATTGCCAGTTGGTAAGGGTTCCTCCTGCAAAAGTATACAGTTGTTTTTTTGTTTTTTTTTACTTTGTTTATTGGGTTTCTTCAACAGCATACAGTTATTCTATCAGAGCATGTATCAAAAGTAGGTAAACAAATCTTCATATAGAAAAATAGGTAGAGTAACAATGTAAATACTGCTTAACACCAGGGCAAACTAAATCCCACACAGACAAAAGACAAACAGATAGAGAAACAGACAAACAAAAAATAAACAAATAAAAAAACTAGTCAGCTAAAACAAAAATGTCAATAATAAACAATAAATGTCAGTACGGCAGCACCTCCTCCCCGCGACAACCCTTCCAGTGTTGGGACCTCTCCAAAATGCAAAAGTTTATTCAGGAATGATTGGGAACTTTATCCTCTTAACACATTTGAAAAAAGGGCCCCATATGTTCCCATATGTATTTGAGGAGCCACCCAGAGAAAATCTAATCCTTTCCATCTTCAGGAAAAAAAGGATGTCTCTTATCCAGTGAGTAGGAAATGGAGGTACAGTATACTATCTTTCCATTTAATCAATATCAACCTTCTAGCCATTAGGGTGGTGAAAGCTATCACGTCCCTCTTGGACTTAGGGGTTAGGGACTTAGGGACTTAGGGAGGGTGGAGAGGGGGAGACCCCAAACAATGCAGTAAAAGCCTTCGGTGCCACTGGGGCCCCAATTAGCCCGATTGTCGACATCTATCATAGGCTGGTGATACACTGTCATAGATCCTAGCCAAACGGGCCTTAGTATAATAAATACAGTGTAGTAGTTTACATTGAATAAGACCATGTCTTGCACAAATTGAAGATTTGTGTACACGTCCTAGAATCTCCTCCCACACCTCATCCGGTATTGGTTCACCCAAATCCTCCTCCCAAGCGGTTTTTATAGAGTTTAATGACTCTGGCTGCAACAGATACATTTGGTTGTATATATTGGAAATTGAGCCTTTCAAAGTTGGAAATGGTGTCAAGAAGACATCCAAAGTGGAATCATTAGGTAGATTGGGAAACATAGGAAACGTGCTATGAGCAAAGCTACGAACCTGCAAGTATCTGAACAAATGTTGTTTGGGAAGAGAAAACTTGTCTGCAAATTGCTGAAAGGATGCAGAAACCATATCAATATACAAATCCTTAAAAGTATTGATACCAAGATTGGACCATCTTAAGAAAACACTATCTGCCAGGGAAGGAGGAAAGACATGATTTGCAGCCAATGGGGCAGAAGCAAAAAGTGATTGTAAAAACTGCTTAAATTGGACCCAAATACTGAACGAGGTTTTAACAATCACATTCTTAGTATACGGAGAAGTGGAAGAATGAATAGGAGAGTGTACTAGAGCCTTCAAAGAAACAGGTTTGGTAGAGTTTGCCTCTATAACCAGCCACGTCAAAGGAGGATCGAGGGCCTCATATTGAAGCCAATATTTAAGAATCCTAATATTGGCAGCCCAATAATAAAACCTGATGTTTGGTAAAGACAACCCTCCAAGTGAGCTAGGCCTCTGCAGATATTGTTTGCGCATCCTAGGAACCTTCTTATTCCAGAAAAACTCCAAAACCAAGCTATCCACTTTATGATAGAAGGTCTGAGGGAGAAAAAGTGGTATGTATTGGAATAAGTATGAGAGCCGGGGAAGAATGTTAATTTTAATGGAATTGACTCTTGCAACTAAAGATAAATTGAGTACCGACCAGCGTTCCCAATCCTCTCGTATTCTGGTCAACAAGGGAGCCTTGTAAAGATCCTCAAGCACATGTGTAATGTTGGTAGGTACGTAAAGCTATGTTGGGCCACTCTAAGGGAAAGTTGTGCAAAGGATCCTTCTTAGCAGTTGTATTAATAGGAAATATCTCACTTTTGTTCAAATTCAATTTGTACCCAGAGATTTGACCAAATGATTGAAGAGTGGTAAGGGCAGCAGGGACAGAAACGGGCAAGTTGGAAACATACAACAGTAGGTCGTCGGCATAAAGGGAAACCCTCAACTCTATACCACTTCTAAGTATACCTGTAATATGGGGGTTGGATGGAAGAAGTGCTATTGAAAGGGGCTCAATAGTGATCGCAAATAACAATGGACTCAAAGGACAACCCTGTCTAGTAGAGCGATAAAGACGAAAGTATTCGGATTGAGGACTATTTGTCCTGACAGAGGCTCGTGGAGAGGAGTACAACAGCTTAACCCAAGAAATAAGATTTTTCCCGAAGCCAAACTTCTCTAAAGTATATAAAAGGTATATTTTTATACCACTCCACTCTATCAAACGCCTTCTCCGCATCTAAAGATATTAAAGCCTCCTGAAAATTAGAGGTGGAGACATTATAGATTGTATTGAACAGACGTCTAAGGTTCGAAAAGCTGTGCCTGTTACGAATAAACCCTGTCTGGTCTGGAGAAATTATAGATGGGAGAATGGATTCCAGGCGTAACATCAATAGCTTCGATAACAAATTAAAGTCAACATTCAGCAAACTTATTGGGCGGTAGGAAGAGCAAGCTACAGGATCCTTGCCTTTTTTCAAGGGGAGAGAGATAGAGGCTTGAGTAAGAGTCTGAGGGAGGCAACCAGAGAGAAATGATTCGTTAAACATGTCCAATAATAAGAGGGCTAATTTACGCCAAAATGTTTTATAGAACTTCGAAAGATAACCATCTCGTCCTGGACATTTTCCACCTTGAATATTCTTTTGAATATGTGGCCCTTCAGCTGAAATGCTCCTCTCGAGCTTTGTTCCTAAATATCTATAGACCACCCAAATACTGTGCAAGCTTTTTTGATGACTTTACTGAACTGCTGTCTATAGTGTGTATTGACTTTGACCGTCTAGTCATTGTTGGGGATTTTAACATCCATGTTGACAACCCCCAGGACAGAGGGGCTAAAGAACTGTTTTGTGTTCTTGATAACTATGGACTGACTCAGCATGTGACGGAGCCCACGCACAATAAGGGGCACACTCTGGACTTAATTATCTCAAAGGGTCTGAATATCTCTAAGGTTGTGGTGACTGATGTTGCACTCTCTGATCATTCCTGTGTTTTCTTTGAGAGCTCTATTTCTGTTCACAAAAATGTTCAAAAAGAGGTAACCACAAAGCGATATTTAACTGAAAATACTAGGGAAATGTTTACTCAGAATTTTTCTTCCACACTTGCCCCTGCTAACATCTCAGTAAATGAGCTAGTAGATCATTTTAATTCAAAAATGTAAAATGTTATAGATGCCATTGCTCCAACTAAGGTAAAGGAAGTGACTGGGAAGAAAATATCTCCATGGAGAAAGGCCATGACCGTGAGAACATAGAAAAAAGAGTGTCGAAAAGCTGAACGCAGGAGGCGAAAAACAAATCTCCAGGTTCACTTTGAAATCCATAAAGAGAGACTTGGCCTTTATAATTTGGAATTGAAATTTGCCCGACAGTCTTTCTTCTCTGATATCATTGCCAAAAACAAAAACAACGCACGTGCCTTGTTTGCTACCGTCGACAGACTATCTAACCCCCCAGTGTCAGTAGCCTCTGAATTTCTATCCACCAGGGCGTGCAATAAATTTGCCTCCTTCTTCATTGACAAAATTCAGAAAATCAGACAAGCAGTCAGTGCCTCTGCATCAGGTACAGCAAACGTTTTGTCTCTGTGTCCACTTAAAATCAATTCAAACACCATGACACAATTCCATCAGATTAATGATAAAAACCTAGAGGACATTATACAACTTCTGAAATCCTCCTCCTGCTGCCTTGATATTATTTCATCCATCCATCCATCTTCTCCCGCTTATCCGTGGTCGGGTCGCAGGGGTAGCAGTTCCAGCAGAGAGCCCCAAACTTTATTTTCCCTGGCGACATCAACCAGCTCTGACTGGGGGATCCCAAGGCGCTCCCAGGCCAGCGAAGAGATATAATCCCTCCACCTGGTCCTAGGTCTACCCCTTGGTCTCTTCCCAGCTGGACGTGCCTGGAACACCTCCCTAGGGAGGCGCCCATGTGGCATCCTTACTAGGTGCCCGAACCACCTCAACTGGCTCCTTTCGACGTGAAGGAGGAGCGGCTCAACTCCGAGTCCCTCCCGGATTACCGAACTTCTCACCTTATCCCTAAGGGAGACACCAGCCACCCTGCGGAGAAAACCCATCTCGGCCGCTTGTATCCGCGAACTCGTTCATGACCCATCCTTCATGACCATAGGTGAGGGTAGGAACAAAAATGGCCCGGTAGACAGAGAGCTTTGCCTTCTGGCTCAGCTCCCTTTTCGTCACAACGGTGCGGTAAAGCGACTGCAGTACCGCTCCCGCTGCTCCGATTCTCCGGCCCATCTCACGCTCCATTGTTCCCTCACTCGAGAACAAGACCCCGAGATACTTGAACTCCTTCACTTGGGGTAAGGACTCATTCCCTACTTGGAGTGGACAGTCCATCGGTTTCCTGCTGAGAACCATGGCCTCAGATTTGGAGGTGCTGATCCTCATCCCAGCCGCTTCACACTCGGTTGCGAACCGATCCAGTGAGTGCTGAAGGTCGCAGACCGATGAAGCCATGAGAACCACATCATCTGCAAAAAGCAGTGGTGCAATCCTTAGTCCACCGAACTGCAGACCCCCTCCCCCATGGCTACGCCTCGAAATCCGATCCATGTATATTACAAACAGGATTGGTCACAAAGCGCAGCCCTGGCGGAGGCCAACCCTCACCGGAAATGGGTCCGACTTACTGCCGAGGACCCGGACACAGCTCTCGCTTTGGGAGTACAGAGATTGGATGGCCCTGAGTAGAGACCCCGTCACCCCATACTCCCGCAGCACCTCCCACAGTAACTCCCTGGGAACTCGGTCATACGCCTTCTCCAAGTCTACAAAACACATGTAGA